AGGACACTACATTCTAAATACAGGGTTACCAGTAAAGAATGAAACTTCAGAGACGACTGGACGGATTCTTGCCAGCTTGTTCTTAAATTGATGGTTCTGTGTAGTTTTAAACTGTTTGATTTCTTTGCCAAATCATTGAAAGAGCATTTTAAAGACCAACAATTTTCTTTTCAATTTTCATTAAAGTCCCCTCCTTTGTGAAGAATCCTGTTTCCACACCAATAGACCAATGGCTTTGTTCCTTTCTAAACTATGGAGTTTATCATCTGAACCATTATGTTTATCATCTAAACCATTGAGTTTAGTATCCAAACCAATGAGTTTATCATCTAAACCATTGAGTTTATCACCTAAATCTTGGAGTTTATCATCTAAACCATTGCGTTTATCATCTAAACCATTGAGTTTATCATCTAAACCTTGGAGTTTATCATCTAAACCATGGTGTTTATCATCTAAACAATGGAGTTTATCATCGAAACCATTGAGTTTATCCACTAAACCATGGAGTTTATCATCTAAACCATGGTGTTTATCATCTAAACAATTGAGTTTATCATCTAAACCAAATAGTTTATTATCTAAACCATTGAGTTTAGTATCTAAACCAAGGAGTTTATCATCAAAACCATTGAACTTATCACCTAAACCATGGAGTTTATAATCTAAATCATGTAGTTTAGTATCTAAACCAACGAGAGTTTAACATCTAAACCATGGATTTTATCATCTAACCCATGAAGTTTAGCATCTAAACCATTGAGTTTAGTATCTAAACCATTGAGTTTAGTATCTAAACCATTGAGTTTAGTGATGTACATTTGCTTTNGGGTTAAACCATTGAGTTTAGTATCTAAACCAAGGAGATTATCATCAAAACCATTGAGTTCATCATCATCTAAACCATATAATTTTGTCATCTAAACCATATAGTTTATCATCTAAACCAAATAGTTTATCATCTAAACCATTGAGTTTAGTATCTAAACCAAGGAGTTAATCATCAAAACCATTGAGCTTATCACCTAATCCATGGAGTTTATCATCTAAACCATGGAGTTTAGTATCTAAACCAACGAGTTTATCATCTAAATCATGGAGTTTATCATAAAAAACCATTGATATTATCATCTAAACCATTGAGTTTATCATCTAAACCTTGGAGTTTATCATCTAAACCATTGCGTTTATCTACTAAACCATGGAGTTTATCATCTAAACCATGGATTTTATCATCTAAACCATGGAGTTTATCATCCAAATTATAGAATTTATCATCTAAGCCATCGAGTTCATCACTTATACCATGGAGTTTAGTAACAAAACCAAGGAGTTCATCATCAAAACCATTGAGTTTATCATCTAAACCATTGAGTTTATCATCTAAACCATGAAGTTTAACATAATACCATGTCCATCTTCAAAATTGAAATATTTTACCAAAATACCAAAGTTTGAAATATTTATATTAATATGCTTAAAGTGATGTTTGACAGTTGAAATTGTATTTATTGTATAAACCTGACATGTGTTTAAGATGTTTGTCGAAGTTAGGATGGAAAACATCAGGGTTGATTCAATATTCAAACCCTGCTCCGGGTTCCCCTGGGAATAGAGCATTCAATTTCTAATCTAGTTTTAATCATGTTTAACTAATTCAATGTTAGGACTAGGCACGGGCAGCGGTAGTACATTTGAATTTCCGAGCCGGGTCAACCTTTCCGGTCCTAGTTTGTACTGTACCTAGCTCTTTGACAGGACTAGCTGGTGCAAAAAGGTTGACGCGGTCAGACTTTATGCTTCATAGGTTGAATTTACTTTTACTAAAGGAGCTGGGGTGCGTGATAAATTATATAAAGTTGTAATCTCTGCTTGATGTCTGTTTGTTTGTCCGATCATAACTTAGGAACTGGGGTGCGTGATAAATTATATAAAGTTGTAATCTCTGCTTGATGTCTGTTTATTATATTATATAAAGTTGTAATCTCTGCTTGATGTCTGTTTGTTTGTCCGATCATAACTTAGGAACTGGGGTGCGTGATAAATTATGTAAAGTTGTAATCTCTGCTTGATGTCTGTTTATCATATTATATAAAGTTGTAATCTCTGCTTGATGTCTGTTTATTATATTATATAAAGTTGTAATCTCTGCTTGATGTCTGTTTGTTGGTCCGATCATAACTTAGGATCCTCTTGATCGATTTGCCTCAACTTTGTTTAAGGGAACTTAGTTGGTTTGAACGTTATAAGATGAGCAAATCGGCTTTTATAAATATTCTATGTTCTACATACTGCAACATCAATTATGATCCCCCATGGGAATATTCAAGGGAATATAAACGCGCATTTACGCATCTTATCTTTACGCAACAATACAGTCATCTACTCATGGTGCATATTGCGTAACGTTTCTATTATTTGGCGGGCTTGTTTGTCTGTTGGGTTCAAAATGTTAAGAAATCCAACCTGAAGATTTTCGAATTTAAAACAATTGGCCTAAAATTAACTTTAATAAATAATTTAATAAAGTCCACCGATGATAATAAGAATATCAACGATAGACCTCCAAAAAGATCATTCAGAAAGATAAGCTTAATATTCAAAAGATGGACGCGAACCTCTCGTTGAATCTAGTTTAAATATATATAGTAAACATGAAGGATGAAACTTCGTGAAATATTTAAACTGTAGCTGATCGTCTGTGTAGTCTCATTCTTTGCGGGTAGCCCTGTATTATAGAATTCAGAATGTAAGAAGAATGGCATTTAGCATTAAAGGGAGTAACCGTCTATGTAAGGTAGTTGAACTGAGTATGCAGTGTTGTGGAAAACTGCTTTCGGATTCATTTGAGGCATATTTCACTTTTTAAAGATCTGTAAATCCTGAGTTTGAGCGCAAATTCGACGTTCAAAACTCCTACTTTGGGGGTGTATACGTTTTCCGAATCGGTTTTTTTAAAATTATTAAATAACGACGACGAAAAATAAAGTGAAAATTATACAGTAATCTAATTAGATGGTTAGGAACATATTTCTCAAAAGAATTTTGTCAATAAATCAATGCTTTTATTATTCTAGAAAATCTGCGGAAATTCTTTGAATAATGAGAAACCAGAATAATGAAAAATAGAAACAAATAATTGAACAAGATTACTTATTTTCGATGATAAGATTAATTTTTGTTTTCTCAACCTGTTCCTAAACAATTAATTAGTTTATTCTAGATTTTATTTTTATTTTATGTCGTTACTCCCTTTAAGAGTCAAAAAAAGAAGTAGTTGTAGTAGTATCCATCTATGTTCAAATCTATCTAACCATCTATCTTTCTATCTATTCTATCTATCTATCTATCTATCTATCTATCTATCTATCTATCTATCTATCTAACCATCTATCTATCTATCTATTCCTTCTATCTATCTATCTATCTATCTATCTATCTATCTATCTATCTATCTATCTATCTATCTATCTATCTATCTATCTATCTATCTATCTATCCCCTTGTAACCAGCCAATAACCCAGGATTAGAGTAAACCACCAACTGTTACACTTTAGTCACGTGATATTCTAGAGAGTATCAGTAATATTCATAGAGAAATTCTATCTATCTATCTATCTATCTATCTATCTATCTATCTATCTATCTATCTATCTATCTATCTATCTATCTATCTATCTATCTATCTATTCCCTTGTAACCAGCCAATAACCCAGGATTAGAGTAAACCACCAACTGTTACACTTTAGTCACGTGATATTCTAGAGAGTATCAGTAATATTCATAGAGAAATCTTGATAGTTTTAGAGTATCAATATACATAGAGAGCTTTTTATAGGTCATAGAGTATAAATATTAATAGACAACTCTTGATAGTTCATAGATTATCATTATTCAAATAGAACTCTTGATAGTTCATAGAGTTTCAATATTCATAAAGAACTCATGATAGTTCATAGAGTTTCAATATTCATAGAGAACTCATGATAGTTTATAGAGTTTCAATATTCATAGAGAACTCATGGTAGTTCATAGAGCATCAATATTCATAGAGAACTCATGATAGGTCACAGAAGAGACAGCTAAATGTTTTTATCCCAAAAATAAGCTTGGAAAACTTTTTTAGATTGATTTATTTCTTTTTAAATATTTAAAAACAAATAGATAATTTACATATTTATATACTTGGCAAAAAATAACAAATTATACAGCGAATAATAAACCAGAGAGCTAAGATCATAGATATTTCAAAAGAATACACAATTAAACATTTTTATTATGATGCCTATAATGGAATATTGAAAGAAACTCAAATATATATTTGAAAGACTTAAAAGCATGAAAAAATCTAAAACAAGGCACACATTTCTACAGAGGGAAGTACTTGGCCTTCTTAAAAGTAATTTTTGTTTATTTAAACATAATTAAAATTAAATATCATCTTCTTGGAGTAGGTAAACGTTTTAAACAATATTATTCAAACCATAGATTGTTGAAAATAACAGATCGAACACTAGATTTTCAAGATTTATGTGTGCTTCGTTCATAATAACCCTGTTCTACGCCGAATACGCGTAACTCCTTTGGGTTTTCTGCTTCAGGGCTATTGTGAACGAAACACACATAAATCTTGAAAGGACGACATCTAGTGTCCTATCTATTATTTTATTTAATCTATGATTTCAACGTTAATTAAAAATTTGGAGTTGCGCTCAAATGCCACAAGAATATGTTAAGCTGTCATGCCAGTAAATAACATGAGGAATATAAAAACTAAACTAACTAGTTCAAAATGGACAGTCGTTAAACATTCTTAAAAACAGATTTTAACAAGAGTGTAATGCATTACATTCTTGGATTTTAACAGGCCCGAAAAGAATATAAGGCTTGAAAAAAACTGAACTGAAAACTCTTAACCTCAAAACGACAAAAAGGACAGAGCCGTTGCCTCCCCCCCCCCCCCACCCTCCCCCCCCCCCCCCCCCCCCACCCTCTCAACACACATAGCGTAGATTTAACAGTTCGAATTTGACAATTTTTCTCTCCTTTCCTTTTTGGAGTTCAATTCAATCAAACCAGTCTACATGTTGAGCATAAAACACACTGGGATCATTTCACTAGGTGAACTAGACCGCCCGGTACGAGCAAATACAGTTCGATTGTACTGTTACTGGTAAATCCTTCTACGGGTTCGGATTATGCAAGGAATGGTCAGGGTGTGATGGGACCCCAGCATGTTTTGTGTACATGATGCATAGGCTGGCTAGTGTGCAGGGCGTTACAATATCGAAATAAAACAGGTCTGCTCACGTTAGCCCAATCATTGCAGGATCGGAACCAGTATAAGAATGTCTGGTCTAGTTTTATGGAAAATTCGCAACATATCCAACTTTATGCAAAATAAATAAATAAATAAATAAATAAATAATAAATAAATAAATGAATAAATGATAATATTAATCTACAAGATCTCTGTTCTCTCTTGTCTCTGATAGCTGTTGAAGAAGTGAGGCAGAATGTTCCTGTGCCTGAACAATACAGTCGTCATCTCATATATCAATACAATGAAGACAACTTCGGTTTCAATTTTGATTTATATCTAGCTATTTATCCCTTTAGCAATTGATTCAAAATCCCGTTTAATATCTGAAATATCACAAAAATGTTGTGCAAAAAGATTTAATTTTTTTTTCTTTTTTCTCACCTTCCTTCTTAGTTCTGCTACACTAGTTGAGAACAGATCTTTAGCAGCCTCACTACAACAGGTACACTGTACACCTACAGTACAGTAAACATTAAAGGGGCTGTGCACATGCAGTACAGTACATATTAAAGGGACTGTACACCGGCAGTACAGTACATATTAAAGGGACTGTTCACCTGCAGTACAGTACATATTAAAGGGACTGTACACCAGCAGTACAGTATATATTAAAAGTACTTTACAATTGCAGTAAGTATAAAAAGTTGGATATTATTTAACAGAATAAGCTCAACTTCATCTTTAATATGCTTATTCAAAAATTCCTGTTTAGAAAATATAGAAATGAAATGTTAACCTGGAAGACAGCTTTTCCCTCCAGTTAACCAGCTAGCACCAGGTAGACTAAATAATGGGAAACATTATTTAATCATAAATATAAATTATATTTTTAATATTTTTTTTTTAAATTATTGAATTTAGATCCAGATCTTTGCCGATTCTACTCATCTTGAATATCAGGAAGATCCGGCGGTTCAACTGTACAGCAAGAAGGATCCGGATGATAAATTATTAAGCAAGGATAATTCGGCTAGTAAACTATTCAGAAAGGACCCGATTAAGAAACTGTTTAGCACAGAGGATCCGGATATAACAGAGGATCCGGATATAACAGAGGATCCGGATATAACAGATAATCAACAAGGAAGAATTCAGCTAATAAACCCGCGTCATTAAGGAGGCTCCGAATAATAAACTGTTCGACAAGAAAGATTCGGCTAATAAACTGTGTACTAAGATCCGGCTAATCACTTGTTCAGCAAAAATGATCAGGCTATATAACTGTTTTAAGCAAGGAGGATCCGACTAATAAACTATTAAGCAAGGAGGATCCGGCTAATACACTGTTCAGCAAGGAGGATCCGGCTAATGAACTGTTTATTAAGGAGGATCCGACTTATAAACTGTTCATTGAGGAGGATCCGGCTAATAAACTGTTATTTAAGGAGGATCCGACTAATAAACTGTTCAATAAGGAGGATCCGACTTATAAACTGCTGTTCATTAAGGAGGATCCTACTAATAAACTGTTCATTAACGAGGATCCGGCTAATAAACTGTTCAGCAAGGAGGATCCGGCTAATAAACTGCCCTGAATTGAGGATCCGGATAATAACCTGTTCAGCAAAGAGGATCCGGCTAATAATCTGTTCAGCTATAAAGATCTGACTAATAAACTGTTCAACAAGGAGTATACGGCTAATAAACTGTTCAATAAGGAGGATCCGACTGATAAACTGTTCATTAAGGAGGATTCGGCTAATAAACTGTTCATTAAGGAGGATCCGGCTAATAAACTGTTCAGCAAGGAGGATCCGGCGAATAATCTGTTCAGCTATAAAGATCTGACTAATAAACTGTTCAACAAGGAGTATACGGCTAATAATCTGTTCATTAAGGAGGATCCGACTGATAAACTGTTCATTAAGGACGATCCGGCAAATAAACTGTTCAGCAAGGAGAATCCGGCTATTAAACTGTTCAGCAAAGAGGATCCGGCTAATAAACTGTTCAGCAAGGAGGATCCGGCTCATAAACTGTTTAGCAATGAAGATATGGCTAAAAAACTATTTTCAAGGGTACCAGTGTAAATCGGGCATTGCCATCTTTGCATGGAGGGTCACTTGAAATTACGCTCACAAATTCATTCCCTCAGTTATATGGGTCTTACTGTACACTGTAATGACACGGAATTTACAAAAGAATTTTCTTGTTTCCAGAGTACAAATCTGACGTTAACAGAATACTAAAGCCTTATTCTTGTAATTCAATTCTGAAACAGTTTTTAAAAGTTAAACATAATTCCCGAGATTTAGTTATGTTCAATGCTCAATCTTATTTAAGGAACTCAAACTTTTTTTCAGGGCTTGCATTAGGGATTGAAGAAACTGATATTAACCTCATTTCTAAAAAATTCTTTTATAAAAAATCACGAGTGCACAAATACCCTTTTCCAGAATTTTTTTCTGAATTATTCACAGTTTGTATATTAGCAACAGAAGTTGATTTTGACCTGAGAGGTCAGAGGTCAATCGACCAGGGGCCGAATTTAAAAAATTTGAACCGCGTCTCCATCAAAAACCGGTTCAAATCTCGAAACACTTAATTCAATATAAAGTGGAGCCAACCATGTTTGAACCGCGTTTCTTGTTTGTTCGAGCCGCGGCTCAAATTCTTTAAATTTAGTCTGAGAAGTGTTTTATTACCTGCGAAGGTAAGGAAGAATAAAGGGATTGTGCTGGGTAAGAGGATGGGAAGGAAACCTAAACAATGTTATAATTTATTATTATAATTTTTTTTCCTGTTGATATTACAAAGTGAAAAAACCTACTGCAGTGAAACATGAAATACATGCAATTAATCTGATAAAGCTTGGCAATGAAACACCATTTTGAAAGAAAAAAACTATTATTAGCAAAACTGCAGTTCTTAGGAAAAACGTCATAGAAATACTTGCTTCACGTTAAGCTAAAGTAAATTATACATTTTAAATCTCAAATGTTTTCATACATAACTGCTTTAAATGGAGAGCTATTGTAAAGAATTTCCAGATAAAGGAATTGAGTTTTTGCGACAAACTCGTGATGTAAACCTTTAATATTTCAAACTTAGACTATTTGATCTAACAGAATTAATAGTTTGCTATATCAAAGGTCTAGAAAACGGGTTGCAAAGTTATGGGAATTAGAAAATGAGAGTTTGTGGCAAAAACTCATTTTCTTTGCTTCCCTCAAATGTGTGCACTAAATCAAAACTAGAGTCGAAGAGAATAACCAGAAAATTGTTGACATAATTATCTTAAATTATGACGTTTTTAAAAACACATTAAAATTTTTCCCATATTTTTGATTTGCAGTTTCAACTTGATTTCGTTGTTATGATGTTTAATTTTCTAACATAGAACAGATAAAAACAAACATAAATTCTGTTTTTATGCAAAGATGTTACGCTAGCCTGAGTAGATTTCCTACCTGGGTGTAAGTGAGAGAGTTGAAGAGGACCTAATATTGCTGAACATTAGACTAGATGATGTAACTGAAGGTTTCATCAGAGATTCCATTGAAAAGATTCCTAAAAGAAAATAATATAAAAAAAATATCGGTAGATAGCAAATATGCAAACATTTTTATCATTCGAGCGGATCAAACAGATTCTGTATCTTCAGACATAACCTTTTGTTTTCTTGTTCAAAAATAAGATCTAATAATTACCCCCAAACAGATTTAAAAACATTAATTTTTGAAGATAACTTTGATTTTTTATTTGTTTTAATTTCATTTTTATATGATTTGTTTCGATTAGCGAATTTTTCTTTGCATCAAGAATTTTTGTTGTTCAGAGAAAAAAAAAAACAATAGGATTTTTTTAAAACAAACGAGAAAAAAATAAAAAACAAATTTTTTAAAAAATATCGTTTTTTATCAACGAACAATTTTATTGAACATGAACAATTTTACTTAATGTACCATCTCACTGAACGAACGATTTAAGTTAGAAAACGAACAAAATTGATGGAAAATGAACGATAATTCTGAAAATGAACGAATTTGTATAATTACTAAACGTCTGAAAGAAAAATTAACAAAATGAGTCGTTATTAAACAATAAATGAAACGAATTGAAACAAAAATCCGAATGCGCCCAGCTCTACCTGTGTGGGGTAGGGGTGAAAAAATACCCCCTCCCCCTGGTCAGTTAGGTAGGGTTTTTGATTTTATTTTCTTACCGGTGGGGGGCCGAGGACTGCTGGTTTCACAAGGAGTAATTGTCGTGTTTTCATCTTCCTGAAAATACTCTTCTTTTAAAGATAATCATATTTATTTTGCTCAAAATTAAAACGAAATTGTATCTTTTTTTAAGGTTTTCCTTTTATGAAATTGTCTTGTCCTCTTTTGTGGGTTTCATTTAAAAAATCAAGGTTTTCATTCAATATTGTAAATTCTTTGAACCTTTTGATGCATATCGCGTTATATGCTATCCTTGTTAAATAAATTTATTTATTAAAGAGGAGAAAGAAAAAGTGTTTGTTATCAGATTTATTTTTTTATTAAAGTGCCACTTAAAATTTCGTAAACAATCTCTTTAAAATGGCTGACCTTGTTGTTATTATTGTCGTCGTCGTCAACATTGACATCTCCCTCCTCCTCCCCCTCCTCCTCCTCCTTCATCATTTCTCCTCCTTCTCCTCCTTCTCCGCCTTCTCCTCCTTCCCTTTTTCTATGTTTTTCCTTCAATCTCTCAGTTTTTCTCCATTTTGCTCTACGGTTTTGGAACCAAACCTGAACAAAACAAATCCAAGAATCAAGTTTGATCTTTTTTTGTCACATTTCAAAATAAATATCTTATCCCCCCCCCCTTTCAATGGCTGAACCGATTAAGCTAAATATTGGCGTGATTCGACACAGGCCTGGAGAGCTTACAAAATAGAAATAATAAATAAATACAGAAACACACAGAGCATCAGGAGACACCAGAGCCCAAAACTAAGACAGGATATCATTATGAAAACCAGTTTTGAAACCCGGGTTTCATGAATAGGGTTAAACAGTTTTGTGGATATCAATATTTTTGTTATGAAATATTATTTTATCTAGTTTCTTCATATTCTTCATTTTTGTCGAATCTCTTAAATCAAAATCTACACAAATGTTAAGACCCATATAAAAAGGAAACTCATGAGTTTCGTTCAACAATACTCTTTTAAATTTCTGGCTCTGGGCGCCTATATAATATAATACATAATCCTTTTCTTATATTCTTTGGACACTGCAGTTGTACAGCATTAAAGAACGTGTCCAAATTCAACAATTATGTCACAAATTTTTTCAGTCGTGATAAAAATCTTCATTTTAAACCCTATACAGAGATAATATTTGTACTCTATTCTATGATTAGAAAACAAAGGAAAAGGACAACTGTTGCTAAACTATAGTTTTGGTGGTATTACAAGGGACGTTTTGGGGGCGGGGGGGTCCCAGGGGACAGAGGATTTGTAGAGGGTATATGTAAAGGGGGNACAGCCGTACAGTAGTCCGATATAATACTTCTCAATTTTAACTTCTTCTTATATAATACTAGACAGTCATCCAGCAGACATAGACTATACAGCCGTACAGTAGTCCGATATAATACTTCTCAATTTTAACTTCTTCTTATATAATACTAGACAGTCATCCAGCAGACATATACTATACAACCGTACAGTAGTCCGATATAATACTTCTCAATTTTAACTTCTTCTTATATAATACTAGACAGTCGTACAGCAGACATAGACTTTATAGCCGTACAGTAGTCCGATATAATACTTCTCAATTTTAACTTCTTCTTATATAATACTAGACAGTCGTACAGCAGACATAGACTATACAGCCGTACAGTAGTCCGATATAATACTTCTCAATTTTAACTTCTTCTTATATATTACTAAACAGTCATACAGCAGACATAGAATACACAGCCGTACAGTAGTCAAAGACTATACAGCCGTGCAGCGGTCATAGATTAGACTACTGTACAGCAGTCATAGAATAGTCTATTGTACAGCAGTCATAGACTGGACAACTGTACAGCAGTCATAGACTAGACTAACTCTACAGTAGTCATATACTAGACTACTGTCCAGCAGCCATAGACTAGACCACTGTACATTATTCATAGGCTAGATTACTGTACAGCAGTCATACATAACAGACTACTGTACAAAAGACTAATGTAGGGCAGACACAAACTAGCCAAATGTACAGCAGTCATTGACTAGCCTACTGTACAGCAGTTATCGACTAGACTACAGTACTCACAGACTAAACTACTGTACGATTTTTACAGACTGAACTACTGTACAGTTTGCACAGACTGAACAACTGTACAGTATACACGGACTGAAGAACGACTGTATATGAACAAAGACACAGCCCCTCTTCTAAACACATAAACATAATCTTTTCAGCAATGTTTTATAAAAAAGTATGAAAATTGCGAAATCTCCTTTCTTTTATTGTCTGTGCTTTCAAAATAGCTATACAATGTTGAAATCTAACACTTTAACATATTTTTATTCATATGTTAATTTTATATAGTCATCCAACAAATTTTTTTGTGTTATCTGTTTCTAGCTCAAATCTTTCTTTATACCTGAACTCTGGCTTCTGTTAGTCCGATCTTCATCGCAAGATCTTCTCTTGTGAACACATCAGGGTAGTGAGTCTAATAGTTGTATCAATATTATTGTTATAATGATTATTATGATTATCATTATTATTGATATATCACTATCAACATTAACATTACTCTTATTATTAAATATTGTTATCATGATTATCATTCTTTTTTTATGATTTTATGATAATGTTTATTTTTTTTATTTGTATTTTCATTATTGTTATTTTAATTATTATCAACTTTATCATAATCATCATTATCATTGATATGGGAAGGAGAGTTTATTTTTAAAAGTTGCGCAAAGCCTAATTTCTTCTAGACACGTTCTTGTTCTTAGTTTGTTGATCATAGTGATTACCTGTGCAAAAGCAGTCTCCAGTTCTTCCAGCTGTTGCAGAGAAAAAGTAGTCCTGTTCCGTCTCTGTTTACGTCGTAGGAACGCCTCGTCATGTAGTTCTGAGTGGTAACTCATAGCAGGGTCTGAAATATTGCAAGGGACTGTAAGCGTAATTCTAAGTGACCCTCTTTAAAGAGAAAGTAATGCCCAATTTACAACAATACTTTTGAAACCTAAAATCTATTTGTAAATTTAGCTTGTCTGGGTGGGTGTTGTTTTGTTTGTATCCAACAAACGTCAAAGCAACTGAACCGATTGGGCCCAAATTTTGTGCGGGACCCCACCTGACCCCAGGGAAGGTTTATGAATGATCAAAATTTTATAAATTGTATTTAAAAGTAATTTATTTTTGTAAAATTTTGAAAAAGCGCGAATAATTTTATGAAATCCACAAACTTTTGTTGTTGTTGTTTTATACTGTACAAAGAGAAGATGCTCATAGATTAAGCCTTCAATTAAAAGTTGAAATAGAAGATGGGCGCGAAGCGCCCTAAAATCCTAGTCTAATAAAAAATGTGGAAGATAACGTTGCTTTTCTCACTCGAAAAGTGTTTATTTCTGTGAATTTTTCCATTATTATTGAAAACAAGATATTCGCAAGTCGCTTTTTCAGTGAAACCAAAATGAAAATAAACAGTTAAATGAACAAAACATATAATTCATATTTGATCGGATCGGACAGTCCCAATTTCTTTTTAAACAATCTTTTATGTTTGTTTATTTTCTTGTGGTTTTTAACATTTTTTTAATCGATTTTGATGGTTATATACCGTAAGCACTGACGAGGGTTAACCCAGACCGAAATATATCTTTAATAAATGTGGAACTAACATCTACTTTTTTTACTCTACAGAGGTTTGGACTTGGTCCAACACCATCACAGAATTTTAAAGCTGGTAAGGGTACCGTGCTGTTCAAGGGTCACTTAACCCTATTCCCNTTTACATAAGCCACAGTATCATCTCGAGGAAATTTAAAATAAAGGCATGCAAATCCGCAGCAAGAAATATTCAGAAATCCTCGAAAATTAGATTAGTTCATTATTAGAATTCTTCCCTTTTAATAAAAAGTAATTAATAATTTTGAAAAAAAAGTTGAGAAAGAAATTGTATCCAAAATCACCGCAGTCAGTTTAGGACAATACTCAATTTTTTTGTCTTTTTGAAAATGGCTTTGTTCATCCAATGTAGAGCAGAATTATGTTTTTACATTGGAGGAATAGAGGAGCACAAACAATTACAGGGGACATTAGTTCCAAAACTAAAACTTGGCCCATTTCTAACACTTAGTGTTATCTTTTAAGCGTATAAATCCTTATTGAAACAAGAAATGTAAACTTTAAACCAATAAAAAGGTGTGAGAATTAGTTTTTAATGATATTGGTTTTCATTTTCGAACATATCCCTATTTTGAGACAATCACCGGATTTCAGCTCATGTCGCGTTTTCGGAACATATCCTGGTTTTGAGACAATTACTTGAATTCATATCATTGTCGATTTTTAAGTATTTACGCACTTACATAACAAAACAATAATAAGGTAAAATATAAACAAAATACTATTCTTTGATAATTTAAAAATCATTATTGCATTGGGAAAGTTGGTTGTGTCTCGAAAACGCGACAATGATTCAAATTCAGAACATGTTCGAAAATGGAAAACCTGAAATAAACTTTAAAACAGTCAAGGGTTTAATATAAAAGAACTCCTTTTCTAATTTTAATTCCAGAAAATAGTTTTAAATTGGGAATTTTTGTCTTCGTCATGCTTAATATAATGTTGGTTATAGCTTTTAAATTCGACTTTTACTTTCGATATGGGCTGGGATCCTAAAAACCCGGTCCGTCAACTTGTGCCCATTTCTAACACTTAGTGTTAGTGTTAGAAATGGGCCAAGTGTTAGTTTTGGAACTAGTGTCTCCTGAATTATAAAATCTAATTTTTTTCGGGTCAGTACATAATTGTCTAGATAAAATCCACATATTTGAATAATTTTAGACTGTTATATTTTGCTTTTGATTTGTTTCAATACAAATTATAATGTTTTAAACATTAAGGTTTAAAACTACCCTAACATTTTTTAAATAATAAAAATACTGGCTCAAACATTTTCTTACAAATAATGTAAGTCTGAAACAAGGAAAATCAATTGTTTTGAAAACAAAGTTAAAAATCAATTTAATTTCAAACAAATCATTAAGATATTACAACCTATAATTATTGATTTTTTGTCGAAGCATTCTTATATACAGGGTATCCCACCCCAAATTAGACCACGTCAATGGGTCTAAATTACGATTTGGGGGACAATTCAGAAAATTTAAGAAGAATGAATCATTTTGAAAAATTTAAGAAGGCTAAAAGAAATTTAGTTTGCAGAAAATGCTAGATTTTTCGAGTATTATGTACGTATTTTGGCGTTAAAGATTGGAGATAATCTAATATGATATGGGACCCTCTGTAGTTGATATTTTATCCAATTTTTTATTTTTTATGATCTGAGAGCTACTTTTGAAAGCATTCATTCCTGTTTTGAGGATTTTTGATGATGAAGACGACATTTTCATATTTTTTTCAGGAATATTCGAAAATCCAACGCCAACCGTGAAAACAAATGGTAAGCGAAATATAAATTAAAGAAAAAAAATTAAAAATATCATGATATATCGGTATGAGTCGTTTTAAACAATTTTCTCCTTATATACGCAACAGATAAGTAGCAATCACCATAAAATACTTTCTACATAAGCCTATACCCCCTTTTATTATCGCGAACACTCCCTTTAATCAGTTGATTTTCAATCTAATAAAACTTACAAATATTACAACTTACAAGGTTGGGTAGTGGAGAAGGGTAGTTCAAGTGAAGGTAATCTTGCTCCAGGTCCAGTAAAACTCAATGGGTTGTGGTAGTAGAACATTTTCTAAAAACTAATTGAAATTAAATCAATTATTATGCTGAGGTGTCCCACTAAATCTCCCCTGATTGGCATAAAAAAGATTAATTAACGTAATTACCGCCTTTTAACTACATTACCAACCCACTGCCCTTTCGGGAAATTAAAAATGTCACTTAACCATTGGTTACCTCGTCCAGTTTTGCCTGCAAAACATCCTCGCTACGCTCTGGAGGTTTTGAAGAAAAAACTAGTCAATTGGAAACCCTTGATAAAGTAAAATTTCTCTTCATGTAAAATATAGTTGTAAATAATTATAACTATACGCTCAAGAGATACATGAGATGAAAGAGATACATGAGATGAAAGAGATACATGAGATAAAAGAGATACATGAGATAAAAGAGATACATGAGATGAAAGAGATACATGAGATAAAAGAGATAGATGAGATGAAAGAGATACATGAGATGAAAGAGATACATGAGATAAAAGAGATACATGAGATGAAAGAGAGAAATATTGCCAACTGGTAATCTTTTCTCATCTTTGTTTGTAACAATTTAACATTTATAGAAAGTGAGTAATTCAATTTTAACACAAATAATAACTTTCAATTATATTTAATTTGATAATCATGGCGCCTTTTCAAATTAAAGAAAAGTATGGAAAAGAAAATTGCAAAAAAGATAGTTGAAGCTCTGGGCAATGTGTACATTATTTGGTGAAAAAAAAGCCAAAATATGTGTTAAAATGCATTTTCCCTTGTCTTTCAGGGGTTAGCTACAAGAAGGAACAGGAAACAGATGTATGATATGATTAGCTATTCAGAAGATACAACAGCCAGGGAATACATTCACTGCTCTAATTTAAAATTTTGTTAAAATTAAAATTCAAAAATAAATGTTTAAAAAATTTTAACAGAAAATTTAAAATAAGGGAGTATGCTGCAGCATGGTTTGATTCAGTAGAAACATAAGTGATCAATTAAGTAAGTAACTGCTTCAGTGATTAAATAAGTAAGTAACTACTTGAGTGATCAATTAAGTAAGTAACTACTTGAGTGATCAATTAAGTAAGTAACTACTTGAGTTATCAATTAAGTGAGTAACTTCTTGAGTGATCAATTAAGTAAATAACTACTTGAGTGATAAATTAAATAAGTAACTACTTGAGTGATCAATTAAGTAAGTAACTACTTCAGTGATTTGTTAAGTTAGTAACTACTTGAGTGAATTATCATAAAACGATTCATTTTAAGAAGGCCGGAGGGGGGAGGGGGTGTTCTAGATAGAATTAAAGTGTATGTATGCAAAATATTCTGAAAGAAAGCTAATATGATAAACTATAAGTAGATAATACACTCCCAAGGGGTTTCATCCTGGAGCTGTGTAAGTGAGTGAAAAAGTGAGTGAGTGAGTGATTCAAATTGATATATTCTGATTCAATATAAAGTCCTAAAGAGAATTAATGCAACGCAATTTTAAGAAGGAAACTTCAAAAAGATTCTCCGAGCGTGAGAAATTAAATTTTAAAATTTTGTATCGTACCAATGATAGCTTAACATTTTATTTATTTAAAATTAGGATTGAAATTAAAATTTTCATTATAACTATTTACAAACTTCAAATGGACTGTATGTACTATGTAGCGTAAGTTCAAGACAGTATGTCCGAGAAACCAAACATGAACCTACTCAGATTAATTGAACAAAAACATTGATATCTCTAATTCATGCTTAATGGACAAAGTTTTTTTTTTTAAGTCATTTCGATATTTATTTGATGGCCTAGACTACAAATAAAAAACTGAATGCAGGATTGATTTTATTTGTTTTTGATATTCAATACGATTTATGTAATTAAATATGATAAATAAACTCTATATCTAAATTGTTATATCTTACATGTTTCACTGGACAGGCTGGTACGAGTAAATGTGTATTTGGTACGATTACACACGACATTTAGTAAATCCTTGTACTGGTTCGGATAATGTACTGGTACGGATAATGTACTGGTACGGATAATGTACTGGTACGGATAATGTAATGGTTCGGATAATGTAATGGTTCGGATAATGTAATGGTTCGGATAATGTACTGGTTCGGATAATGTATTAAACATAATTTTAAACTTTTTTGTAAGCTTCTACATTTTAAGCAGCTAATTTAAGAAAGACAACTCCGTAAGTTTAAAGATTGTTGATTTATGATTGGTCATGAACGTGATTAAATTCAAAACAGAGAAAACTGAATGCATCTCGCCCTGGTTAGTCCGGGGTGAAGTGCTTAATTTGACAATTTTCTTCATTGTTTCTGAATCATAAATGTCACTGTAAATTAGAGGTCCTGGTAAAAAGGCAGTGATCCTTAAATTTAGAACGTAGTTTTACACATATTCGCTATTTTGTACATTTTGTTAGACGTCATATTTTAAATATTTTACTGTAAAAAGTCTTTTTCAATATTATGTATGAGTTTTTGAATAAGAGATAAAAATATGCCTGAAAATAATGTTCTTCGATCACGTGAATTTAACAGTTCTGTCAATATTCCGCAAAGCTGTGACTTTCGATCACAATTTGACCCATTAAATATAATTTCTTAGCCTTTTTTCTTAAATGCTTTTTGTTGGTATTTGTATTTTGAATGAAAAAGTAGAGGGTAAACGAAAATTCGTATGTTAAAAGATTGTTGAAATATATAAAACAAAACACGTTTGATTTCAAATACAAAAGCGGAATGCAACTCACTCAGGTCCAGGGTGCGCGCGATGTATTATTTGTGAATATTTGAACAATTTTTACTTTGCAAATTCGAAAAAATAATAATGCTGTAAGTTTACCTGTTTTTGTTTGGTTTGTTTTGGTTTGCTACTGTTTCTCCAGATTTAAGTTGTCCTCCTCTCTCCGAGCTTACAGGATTACTATATGATTAAATCTTCGCCAAAACTTCGTTATCCTAACTTGGTGCCGCCCAACCCATTAGCTCATCCAATCAGAGCTCGGCGGCGATCAATTCAACCAATAGGAACAGGGCCGGCGCCCAGCGCCCAATGGAGAGGATTACACGGTGTTTGGATTCTTTGAGAAGATAAGGTTGACGAGCAAATTAACTTAATGTCTGCACTAAGTGGCTGTTTTACTTTAAATTTCCATTCTTTAGATGTCAAATCTACATAATATATATATTTAAACAATTTGGTAAAAGCCTGAACCAACAATAAACTTGGACTATTTAAACAACATAATAACACTCTCATTTTATTATATTATCCATTCTAATAACATCGAGTTTGAATAACAACTACCCTCACCCTGTACTAACCAGGGAGAGATGAGTTCGGTTTCATCTATTTAAATTCAATCGCGTGCCAAGGGCAGCCGTCGCGTAGTACATTTGAATTTCCGAGTCGGGCCAACCTTTCTGGTCCCATTTTGTACTGTATCGCCCGGACATTGGGTAAATAAGGCAGACACTCAAGAGGACTATCCGGTGCAGCAAGGTTGACGCGGTCAGACATTAGGTTCACGTGGAATTAACGGTTCTGTCAATATTCCAGAAAGCTGTGCCTTTCGATCACAATTTGTCCTTTTAAACATATTTTTTAGCCTTTTGTCTTAAATAATTTTTTGTCGGCATATGCATGTTGAATGAACAGTATAGAATATACAAATCCGCAAGGTAAAAGATTGTTGATTTATAGACCAAAACACGTTTGATTTAAAATCGAAGAAACCAATTGCTGCTCACTCTGTTAATCCGGGGTGGGTTGAATTTCCTTTTACTAAAGGGTCAGAGATATATGCGTGGTGTGTGGTTTATTCAATCATCTTTAAACCTACGGAGTTGTCTTGTTATACTTCTTTATGCACAATTGAAACGCCGACTAAAAAGTAAAAAATTAAAAAGGCGAAAAAAGATCACAGTTTGTTGGGATAAGAACAGAAGAAATGTTAAATTACCCTTATGTT